CAATTGAAAGTTCCGTTATTTCGTTGTTTAAGAAGCTGATTTGATATACTTTAACGTTAGTGTAATTGGGCAAGTGTAGAGGCTGCGCCATTAGAAAGCAGCGCAACGGCATTTTTTTTACTTTAGCGATCGCTTGTCTGGATAAATTACCTTTCGCCGAGGGGCTAATTCGCAGCATGTTATGTTTAACTCAAAGTTTTTAACTTATCGGTGTACTAACTCGAATTGAGTAGCACGGCTTCCTGATATAGAGCTTAAATAATAGCCATTAGACTATAGCCATTGACCATACCTTTAACAACTACGTTGGTAATAGTGGCTGGCCGTCTCCGTTCCAGTTTTATATTTTAAATTCAAAGATGTAGTTTTCTAATGGACAGAAAATTTGTTACAAATTCTCTGACATAGGCTTTGGATAGCGGGGGAGCTTTGTTGGCCTTGCAAAATGGCTTTATGTATTGCAGTTGATGCCAGGCAGCGCCCTAAGGTTTCACCCGATTAACTTATTAAAAAAATAGCTAAGAAGTTCACGGAATTGCTGTACAATATCCAGTAAAAGATCTAGCTATCCCTCTTGAACGAATACGGTATTTCCATCGGGAACAAGGCTATTCGAATTCATCTTTTGATACGGCGAAAATCCTGGCCTTCATTATTGCAATCGCTTACAGAAATTGAGATATGCCTGAAGAGTAGCTCAAGAAAACTAGCTTGACGTTTAATTGCAACAGTTCCCTAATAACAAACTCTTCACCTAATTTAAATTTAATTAAAAACCCAAATCCTTTTCTATGGTTTCGATCCACACTATTATAATGTATATCATTCAAAATGTTTACGCAAGAACTTCACTTCCAAAGATACGATAAGTAGATTAGCAATAAATATTCGACTACAAGACGTATCATAATTAATTTTATAAAAAATGTTTTGCCGCACTTTTTATAAACTGCGAATAACTAAACAAGCAAATCGTATTTTTTTATGAGAAGATGAATATCATAATTTAAAAAATCTCTCCAACTAAATTCAAGTCAACAAACCCCACACCTATGGCGAATGCTAAGAATATACGTATATTGATGAAAAAAAAATTCTGAATTATTTTTGAAATAGATAACAACGTGTATCATTCCCCTTTAAATATGGAATGCTCATCTACTCATCCAGAAATTCGTCAAGGTTTGAATTGTTTCGAACTTCTTCTTGTTCCTTGTTATTTAAGGTAATTTATTTATTTATAAAATATTTTTACAATACTTTGCTACCTACTTAGTACATTCAATACTTTGTATTTTTTATACCTCCTACTATTTGCGCCTTACCCTTATAGCACCTCCGCCATACTTTTAACTTTGCTTAAAACCCTAAAGCCTATTTATCATTCAGTTTTAATATGATTAAAAAACTATAATAGGTCGCGATGAGACGGAAATGTATAATAAAAGCTAGATTCCTAAGCTTTTTCAACGTGTATCTGCTGCAGATATTCAGGCCTAATGCAAGACCTCGACTATAAAAATTGCATTTTGGAATTATAATCTATTTCAATATGTAATTGGTGTGTTATTTCGGGTGACTATATCCGTAGCACACTGATGCATTTGCTAACGAAAAGCTTATTAGAACTGATAGTTATATCAGGCACAAATAGCAAGTCATTGTTTATATCACGCTAAATCCACATAGTGCAGACTCGGCATGTTCAGCTATATTGATCAATACTAATTATGGTGTATAGAGGTAAGAGAGGTGTATCGGGCGTTTCTGAACAGTACATTAGTACAGTGACTAAGGTTAAGAACTTATGAAATGCTTATAATGCTTATTATATGACACATATGACTCTGAAATGAGAACCTAGGCTCATTTTATAATATTAATGGTAATCACGAGAAAAGTTCGACTAGTGCAGTTAACTTTGTTTTCGAAATTTCGCGCCGTGAAACGCCTGTCCGGAAGTCCGGGCTAAAAATTACATTTGTTCGGAACAGCGACCCGAAACATGCGCGAAATCTATGCTATGATTACACAGAAATGAAGTGCAAGATATGACATTCAACGCTAAATGGAATGGTTCAACCAACGAATGACGCTAAGAACGAAAACTCGGAAGGACTCGGTAATCTAAGTAGGTGCATAGAGGAATACGCGGGGTAATACGCACATATGACGATACTGCAATTAGCGAAAACTTGGACATACAGTCAAAAGCTATATTTAAAAGTTCAAGGTCCCATTTGTTGAAACTCGGGAGAGCCTGAAAACACGAGTGGCTGGAGTCAACTGAAATAAAAGCCAAGGGATTCCGGTGTCAGTTTTTCTTTGGTACTCAGGCTGTCATAAACCCTGGTCAAATGTTGAACTAAGAGGAAAAAGGTAATTTGACACGTTGACCAAAACTTTCTTTTCAGTGATCTCGATAGTTTACAGTGGTTTCCCCCATCGACGAAAAATCAAAACCCCTGATTTTTAGGAGAAGAAAATCGAGAGCGCTAGCTTGTTAGGTAGTAAAGAGCAAGATCGTTTCAATCTCTACAGTACAAAGTGGGAAACGCGCCACCTCTAGCATCGACTTTAACGCATAAGCTCACAGACACTCAGTAACGTTTATAATTGGAGACTCTTTGAGGCTGGTCGCGTTTGTCGTGCAGTAGCAGCAACTAATGCCCACAACAGAAAAGACTACTGGCGGGAGGTAAACGATCTGGTTAGGTATAAACTCAGACAGAAATGAGGAATTAAATGATCAGGCTCCAAACGAAGAAGGAACGCTTGTAAGTTAGGAGAAAGATAATGCAGCAAGACTAGCATAAAGCGAGATTAAAGAACGAGGATATAACAACTGTCACGAGAATGAGCTGATTAAGCTGCCAGCGTATCTGAGAAGTGAAATAGAAAAAAGTAAGATAAAAAGATATAAATAGAAAAAAAGTAAGAAAAAACGTATGATCGGGAACTCATAAATCGATATCACCAGAAATAAACACGATAAAACAAAATGTTGTATTAAAGATTGAAATAATAAGCATGACACTAGGCGGAAACATGTAGCTCCCAGAGACAGCTTCCGTAAAATCGGAATGTTTCAGTACGGTAGTATAGCAAATAAACGTGAAGTTATAGAAATAGGAGAAAACAAATGATCCTATAAAAAATATAGGAAAATACAACAAAGGTGAGGAGTCAATTCGAATAAACACAAAAAAGAACCTAGTCAATAACAAATCATAAGCTATATAGCAGCAAACCGTTTTTAACTGCATTATATGATATTTTTATATGAGCCCATATTATTGCCACCAACGCCATTTTGTTGGACAATTTTTATTTGTCTATGCAAAGCACATATATGCATGACAAACTCGTAATAATACATTACCCTTTTGTTATCTGCTGAACGTTAACTGACAGCTGAACTGTATCGTGTGCAGCCTCATTGAATCACAGCGGCAGAAAATTTCCTCTGCGTTTTACGTTTTATACCTAAGTCGTTAGGTATTAGTTCAAGCAGTTAGCTTCCAGTTCGAAATAAAGCAGGTACCCAGGCCACCACGTGTTGCAAAGCTTCGCAAGCACTCATAGTACGCACTGCGCTATCATGTCGACTCACAGCAGAAAAGAGCTCCGAACGATGTTAACCAATGAAGGTAGTGAGAAGATTTAATGAAGCAGTTTCATTAATGAATAACGCAACTATTATTGTAACATGGGAGACTGCACGATCGGGATGAACGTAAACTAGTTCAAGTAAGTTAATAAAAGTAATTATAGTTATGGAGCTCCAAACGCCAGACACAGCGAAAACGAATCAGGAGATCAGATTTCCAAGGGAAGGATCAGCTTCAGCTTTATTTAATTAAAGTTTAATCCCGAATAGAATGGAAGAATAAATCGAGGCCGAAATCAATTACTGTGAATTAAACACAGAACTTTAAGAACTAGAAGAAAAAAAGGCGCTACAGGGGAAAAAATTATGGGAAAGACGTCGCAGGCGAGGCGGAAAAGCCTATCACAAACATTAATTGGACAACGGAAAATTTCCCTTAATTCAGTTTATCAGGCATCAGTGCAAAACAATGGAAACATTCGGTTTCATACATATAATTGTATCATCTGTATAGAGTTGACTAGAAGCGAAATTACCCTAAGGAGAGGATAACAATATTTTCCATTTCGGAATGGAATAAAAATTTGGTGCTATCAAAAAAAACAATTGTACATATATGTAATTTGCAAAGAATCCCTTTCCGTCTTATCACGTGCACGAACATGAAAAGTGATTTCAGACCGCGTAAAATTGGCAACATTAATTCATTTATATCTTGTTATTTTTATGATGCATCTACAACCTTCTAGACGAGGATCGGCTTCGCAGAATGTATTGAGCACGCCCGATATTACAGAGGACGAGCTTCCCTACGAGGAGTTTCTACCATGTGCGATCTGATACATTAGCCACTTCTCTTTTAAAAGCTATGATAGATTATTATAACGTTATAGACCGTTCATGTTGTAAATCTCAGCAATGATCAACATTCTGAGGCTGTTAGCGAGAGTTGAATTTGGCACGTAGACTTCGGGTAGCGGGATCATACTCACACTATTGGCCTAAACTGACAGAAAGCGTAAATATCCACGCTTAACATTTACAATGGCCGGTTGTTCTTTGTAAGGTTGAATCGGACGTCTATTTTAAACTAGTTGGAAGCAAACGCCTATCCGTCCAAAATAAAAAGAGCTAGCGTAGGTGTGTCGATGAGTCATCGTATAGGCACAAAATCAAAATACCTGTACCATTTTACACATGTCTACGTACAAATCTAACACCTGTGCGTTGGTAATGCACAGGTGGTAGACTTGAGAATGTGTACTTACATTATGTAAATGTGCTATCCTCTACGTTAACAGGGCAACTTAGGGTTCTAGGATGATTTGAGATGTACAGCAGTGAGTGCACAACCATCAATTTATTTTCCATGAAAATTAAATAATGTCCTGTTGCGCTCACGGCCACTTGTTTATTAAAAGCTCTGGTTCAAAATAGGTTTTTGCTTTTAAACTGCTAACTCGATAGTTGAGTTCGATCAGAGAATATTGAGCCTTGCATTGCCTGCCACCTAATAAAAGAAGAGGTTTTAGAGTATCATTTCGGTCATCGATATTTTTACGAATATTGCGGCCTATTGCTCGTAGACCGCTGTTAGCTCACCTACGATTAATGACAATATTTGAACTCGCAGTTCTTGAAATGTTTCCCTATCATATATGACATTAACCAAGTAAATACCGGCTTCGATCCGAGAAAGAGCTCACCTTATGTATGCTTCATCGCGTCTATAATTCAACCGAAATCAAAAAGAGAGACTTAACAACATTGTACTTGCACAAACGTTTTTTTTTTAAATAGACCGGTAAAATAAAAGGTAAAATAAAGGTCCCATTTCGGTCGATTTTGAAATTAACGAGAAAATTATTCATGATAAAGCGCATTAATGATACACTGTCCTTTCATAGTATATTATATTATATTGATTTCACAGTTATTTTTGTCATACATTTTTACTTTCATCTTTGCACCCCAAAGTTCCTCATAACGGTTTGCTTAAGGGGCTTCTAACCCAGAAAAATAAACAAGCCAGTCGACATAGCTTTATGTAGTCGAGAAAATTAAGTCGAACCTTCTTAACACCAGACGGGTATTTTACATGGAATATTTCCCACAGCTTTACAGATCTTTTTGCTCCTTTGTTCTCAGCGTATTTATCATCAGCCTACAGATTACCAACTGCGTCTACTTCTCTCCGACATGAAAATCATCAGACAGATGCACATATGTGAAGCATTGTTCGGCTGAAATGAGTTTATGTAAGTTACCGTACAATCTGTTTGATATACATTCATTAATCGTATCTTGCCGTATAAACATACTACGCTTAGTATCCCATCCAACAACATCTAATTATATTCAGGCCGGCTTCTCTATAGCAGTTTGAACATTTGTGCCAAAAACGATGAATTAAACAGAATGTAAATTGGTGTTATTTGTCATCGAATTGAAACTGACATACAGCTAAGCGATTTCTTATTGTTGCATTCTAATGCATTAGTTTGGCTCTTTTTATTTACCGAGATTTATTGTGTCTTGCGGGAGCCCTCAAAGCTCTACCCCGTGATATTCGATGCCACTGCCCACTTCAGCATGCAACTGAATTTGTCTAAAGTCGATTTCTCATTATCTCTCCTTATCTCGTAGTTCGTTATCTGTTTCTCTTATGAGAAATCGGTCGTTTTCCAACAATTCTACACTTAAGAACGACATAGGGCCTAGTCCGGACAGCTAATCACCTCACCAAAGCAGTTTGAATTTTGCCGCGCATCACGGTCACCGCTTCTCCATCCATCTCTTTCCTACACCCCGAACTGTCAGAGAGACGTGTTGTTGCTAATCGGTCCGGCGGCTCTATACAGCCGCAAGTTGCAGCTGAAAAGAGAAGTGATTCGCATATCGAAGTTGTGCTGTATCTGTATTTATCTGGCCGATTTGTCTATGCTGTTCTGTGCTGTGCCCTCGCTGCTGCTGCTGCTGCTGCTGGTTTTTGGGCCAGTCGTCGACCTGCGGTGCATGAACTGCCTATAAGCAGCCAGCTCAAAAGAACAAAACGCCTGCCTAACGTGTTTGTCTATGTGTCTCTTCTAATAGAAGCAGCAGCTGCAGCAGCTGTATCGAACAGTGAGTAGTGGTGAGTGAGCTGTGGCACTAGTAGCTCTCGCAGAGCCTGCCTGCCTGCCTGCCCCGGCCAGCGATTGCTGGCGGCTAGACGTCTGTGCATCCGTCTGTCTGTCGGCCTGCCTGCCTGCCTGCCTGCTTGCCCTCCCGGGTAGCAGAACTCTCGACTGTGGTCGTCGTACTAATGTAGGTCCTGTGTTCATTGTATACCCCTGTTGGATTGTACAAGGAATAGCGTGACTTGACTGACTGCTCTTTTCGTTGCGTTCGCGACTAGTGGCGATTGCTCAGTTCAGTGGTACCGACGGTGGACCATCAGACCAATGGTTGTCCGTTGATCGTGTTACCGGCACGATTATTTCTTTACTAAACTTTGGTTGTCTCTCTGGTCGCCATCCGTTGGCCTGTTTGTCACTGTTAGCAATACAATCAGCAGCAGCAGCAGCTGAAACGGGATTTTGCTGTTACTGCTGCTACTTGGACGTGAACTCCATGGCTATGACATTTTGAACGATGTTGTCTTTTGCTAATTGCCAGTCTTTTCGTTGCTAATCGAGTTCGTAGCTTACAATTCAACGTGTCGTAATAGTAAAAATAATAGAAATATAACGAAGGAATCTATATGGGTGACGTAAATTTACTGTGACTGCCGCCGATGGTCTGGATAACAGCAACGACGGAACCAACGGCAACAACTTAAGTACCGACGGTCATCGTGTCGCCGCTCACTGAAGCGGTAGAAAGTGGACATGTCGCACTGATTAAGTTGCTGGCGGTGAAGGCCATATTTGGTTAACAACAAGTTCAACAAACAGGTCGATAAAATCAAAAGGTCAACGAGAGCTAAAGCAGGTCTAACAGTTTATGAGTGTTCTTGAGAATATTGTGTGTGCATGTGCTCGTGTGTAAGCCGGCGTGCGAAAAAGTGTGCATTTCTGTCCCGTATCTACTATCTGTTTCGTGGAAATAATCCCCGAGAGACAGTCGACTTAATGTGCGCCCCACCGCTGCTTTCCTGAGGTAAGAGAGGTGATGTTTAACAAAAACAAGTAATTGCAAACACTGTTTTGTGTATCGTTAACCCCGCACCGTACGTGACTCATGGTCAAGTCACCTTTAATCGAAAAAAAGCATCGATTCAATTGCATCAATTAACTCAAAATACCTCACCATAACCGCATAGTCACATATCGATAAATAATCTAATTTTTCTTGTTTATGTCGGCGTTCGTCTGATATTTTCAGCCGACGTATAGAAATGCATACAGACACAACAGCGACGCTCAAATTAACAGAATTTTTAAGGATTCCATCTATCCATTCAGTTCAAATCAGCTGTCGGTTGACTGGAATTTACTGTGGTAAAAATACAGCTATTTAATCAACACTCTCAGTATACAACTTAATACGTTGACTTTTTTTTGGTAACAAAGAACTCAGCATCGTAGTGCAGCTTCAGAAGATCGAAGTCCGATTGTGTCGAAATGGTAGGAAGTGCAAGATTCAATCTTGTCTTGTATTGCTTTCCGTGGTGAAGCACGCGTCTACATATGACTTGGTTTTTCATTTGTAATATTACATGGATATATATAAAGTTGACATTATCTGCTGCCATTGACATTAATCGGAACGGATCGGTACCCTGTCGCCAACCAGCTTACCTTTGTTTAAAAACAATAGTTCATTTCAGAGATATATTGGAACATCAACGCCAAACTGAAGCTTCGGTACTGAATAAATAGGTGTTAAATGTTTCTAGTAGCCTAGATTGGAGGACGCTGAGCAGATTGGCGGTGATTTTAGCTATCGACTATTTTGACTCTATGCTACTCGATGCTCGAAGCCACTGCATTGGAGACGTCCATTGGAGAAGAAACGTAAGATTACCATTAATTTTTCCGCTTTCTTCTATTGATAGCAAACCGAGCCATTGTATCATTTCCGCTACGTGCCTTTGCCGGTATCCATATGTGCTGCCTTGTCTATCGCAAGTACAGGGGAAGTCAGCATTGTCCAACATCGTTAGAACAGACTCGTTTCGTTTCGAAAGTAGATAACGGAATGGCAAGCCCAGTTGTCGACGTATTCACACGTCTATGGGTAAGCGCGTGTGCGTGATGACTACAGTGGTGATATTGGGCAATCTTTGTTGAACCGGGCGGGAAAACGTCAGCCAAAAAAGAAAAAGAATAAAGAGAAGATTTTGAGGGCTGTCGTACCGACATGCGGTTGAGGCAACACCAGCAGCATATGTTTACTACGTCGCATACTATGATGCTGAGTCTCCGTGTTGCTGCCGTGTAGTGACTCCTGATTACTGGAAGGTCATGTCAAAATGAAGAGGGAAGTACCAGCTGCAGAGTTTACCTTGGCCGCTTAATTTTTACCATTCTTCGCGGGGTGTCTGCAGATGATCTTCTTTTGATCGCCTGCCGTAGCTGGTACTGACGCACTTCTGCGTGTTAACAACAAGTTGCACCAGAAGTTGCTACCGACACAGCTTCGGCGACGTCCCGCAAAGCGATGCAGCCGCTGCGCGTTTCCTTTGCAACTCCATGACTCTGCATCGAATAAACCTCAACAATGAGGTGTCTCCTACGCGCAGTCAAGGAATTATATCGTGCGCTTTGAATACGTCGTCACCATTAAATAGTTTTAACACAATATACCACCACAGCAACTGTCATCGGCGAAATAAAAAAAAATCGGCGAGAGCCACGGGTTTCGAACATGCTGCGATCGATAAACGGAGTTCTTGATGGACTCCTTCGGTGGAATATTCATTGACGTTATATACGCATAGTTATTGTGAAATATTTTGCTATATTAGTCGGTTTCGCCGCTGCGGCTGCTTATAATGTGACTGAGGCCCCTTGTAATCGATATATTATAAGCGACGCAGGCATCCATAACGTTCTGGGTAACAAATAATAATTGCGGTGACAATGTTATATTATTCAGCATAAGCCTCATATGAGCAGACATTTGTTTCAGCATTATTGCCTTAAACATAGTATTACAAACATTTGTCGTTCGCTCTTTGGACACGTAGGTGTGTCCACCTGCACACTTGGTCACTGAACTGAGTCACCTTAAAAACGAAGAGGTAAATTTGCCTATAGATTGATTAGGATATTCCACTACAGGGAGCTCTAACCTGGAACTATCGGCGCACTCAACCGTTCAGTAGGGACAATAACAACGGCATAAACAATGATAGTTGCTTTGTTTTAACGCAGTGATAACTAATGGTCGACGTCGGCTGGCATTTCAAGTAGAGCTATTGTTGTTGCTATTGTGGTTGCTGTTACTGTTGCTCTAAGTGGGGAAAAAGGGATTCGATCAAGTGAAAACAGTTCACTCTCTTGCTATCTGTTTTCCTGAACCTGTTTATTGCTGCGGATTGTTTCTTGTATCCGCTAACGCTGCCGACAACGGAACTTCGTTACATGAATAAGGAGGTCAAGCCAAACCGCCGACCATTGCCAACGCGAAAAAGCATCAATTCCGTGGAATGCTGAAGTCGAGTGCAAACTTAACTGCAAAAAAGAACAGGAACTTTTTTTAACTAATTTACTAAATTAGTAAAATATAGTAACATGAAAATAATAATTAATATAATAATGTTACGAAACAATAGAGATATATAAGAGCAGGCAGTCCGCTACGTTTGGAATGACCTGCTGTCATTTATTTTTTGGTCCACTTTATGGTCCATTATGTTTGGTCCGCTTGGAAGATGCACTGCGGTATACGCCATACGCAATACGAGTAAGAAATAAATTCTGTGTAGTTTGGGATAGAGAGGCAGCTACATATTGTGCGCGCCTAGGTGAGGACAGGGTATCGTGCAATTAGTCAACCGATCAAAAAACATTAAACAAACGTAACACAAAAACACACTTGGAAATTACATACTTGTGAATGCTGTAAAAGAGATTTGTGCTTTTAGAGACTACAAGATATCTTAGTGACTTTAAAGAAAGAAGGTTATTCTGCTCTGATTTATCTTAATTTAGGGTGCCAATGCCTTTTGACTCTCGGTGATTTAAACGCAAATCGTAAATGTTGTCCTCATTGTTGTTATGGGTCGATGAGGTCCATCCATCAGTGATGAATTTTAAAAAAGCCGCTGGTAACATAGAATCTATCGAAATCGACTGAAGTCACATATGTGTATAGAACAGCTCTGGTTACGAATGGCAGCTGACTGTTCGTAAACACTTGTTTCCTCTGTACTCGACACGGAAAATACTATGCATAGAACCTAGAAGTGTTTCAGCAGATTTGACAGAGAAGGTTGGCCCGTAGAAATACCATCCATAAATAGGTCGCTAGGTGCACAATCGTTTGCTGAGCAGAAGCAAACCTGGAACAGCTGCCTGTACACATGGTCACAGTTTATATTATGCAGAATTGAACTTTGATTCTGTGCCACATGTAGCTAGCAACCATAGAGAAAACTATACGTGATCTTAGTATTACCTGCTTTTGGAGATCAGTTTCGTGAGAACTGTGCCCCTCGAAGTCGGGTGTCATTTCCATGAGGTATTACATGATAGATAAAGTAAACAAATGCATATCTCACCAGTTATATCCCTGCGACTTCTGTGGGCTCTAAACTTTAGCCAAATTCATTCCAATAGAATAATATGTTCGCTAATGCTATCAAATCCTGTCAATTAGGCCGATCAACTGGTTGTATGACTGACTTAATTTTCTCTAGTCGTTTCGAGCAATAATTTCCGTTGCTCTATAACCCAGATCTACCGGGATTTCTCACCGCAATACAGTTGGCTAGTCTGTTGCCAAATCTGTTAGCTAATTGTACCCCATGGCTCAGTCCATGACAGTATATTCTTTCGAACGCGTTCCACATGCAGCATTCGTAGCCCGTACTGCGAAATGTGTGGTCTGTGGTCAAAATCTATTTCACTTGTATATAGGTCGACGCTCATCTTCGGCACAAACACCTTCTGCAAGTGACAATGTGCCTATCGAAAATTTTCACGTGAATTCCCAAAAAAGCTGAGTGATGAATGTGCGGTATGTTGTAGATCTAAAACCTTGGAAATAATGCAAAATCAAAAAACAAAAAAAAAAAACAATGAAAACGAACACACTACAATAGGTGCACGACTGACACGGGCGAAATTTTTGTTTTTTGGAAAGCGACTGAAACGTACGTCATCAGAACCTCCAACGACGATTCATAATTATCCTTGACATACCAGCAGCGCGCTTGCCATAGTCTATTGATAAATTACCCCATTGTCGTGTTTTGCTTGTGGGAATTCAGGCCTTTCAGTCAGGATAGTCCGTTACAAATTGGCAACATAAATGCAATTAAACGCATTGACGAACAGTCGATAAAACAGTTCTAATTATTATTCACTTAAACGTCAGTTTAGATAGATCTTACAACTGGTAAAAGCCCTAAGCTGTTCACCCCTTCACACTACTTGCTGCATTTCTAATATGAACTGTTACCTGCACGCTTTCTATTGCGTGGCCGTTCGCTTATCGTCGTGGCCATGTAAAAAGAAATCTTCAGTACACATCGTGCTACTTGTCGGCCCTATTAAATACAACTCAATTAGAAATATAGCGCTATAACACATGTCGTTGTACCCAGTATGGGCATTCATACTAGCACTAGGCGTGCACGTAAATTTTGATGAATGTGTGCCGCGAAGTCTAATAAGAACACCTCACGAAAGTTTACGTAAATCCTTATCAGATCCGCGAAGATAAAAATCTTCGCGGATTTTTATTTTTTTTTAATTTTTTTTTATTTTTTTTTAATTTTTTTATTTTTTTTTTTAGGATTTTAAGTCCCAACTAAAGGCCGCTCAAGCATACGTTCAATATCGAATGACTTGACCCAACGGAAATACCCTTTTCGTAGAATATTTTCGCGTAATATTATTTACACCAGGCGTCGTACCCTCGTGATGCTTCTCATTAGATGGTAATTTCGAAAGTAGTAGAATGTTAGCTTGTGTCGATTGCTTAACATT